TAGCCGGTATCCCTCCAATGTATTAAAAGTGCATGGTTTGGTAGAAAGTCACTTCTGTTATTAATCTGCTTAACAGCCAGATCAATTTCTGGCTGTATGCCTGCGCTGTTCCAACCCTTGTTTGTCGTATTCACCTCAATAAAGCCTCCAATATGCGATACGGACTTTTTACAAAGCACTCCTTTCACCATTACACCTACCAAGACCTTAAGAACCAACTCCATGGTTCAATCACTGGTGAAAGATTCGAAAGTACGATTTATGTCTCATTTCTTTATACAGCTATGTTCACTCATTTTATTATGATGATTCCAATATTATTTAGTTTGTGTTAATTTAGGACTACCGACTTGCAGCTGCTTGTGATTGTCTTAAATGCCGCTAAGCCGGTTAGCTTATGATTATTACGATCTTCAAATTCATGACAGAAAGGCAAATAATGAATTAAAATTAGGATGGTAGATCTTCACAGGAAGTTAAACGCACTGAGTAATATCGTTCAGTTGGTTAAGATTCTTCACCACACGTGTCTCAAAATCTCGTGCAAGGGGCTTATATTTTCTTCGTGTTTTTTTTTTTTTTTTTAAGTACGTTCGTTCACTTGAAGAATCACAGGTTTTTGAAGCAAAACTAGTCTGGGTAGCTTGGTTGAAAGCTCCTGCAAGTCAAACATCATTGAGAAATACGAGAGCATGAAATTCACTGTTCAATCGTCGATTTTTCCTGCTTAGGGTAAAGACTTATTGAAGGCACGTCAGTCTAGAACAGAGCAATTGAAGCATTTTTTATAGCTGTTAATGCCAACGAACCTCCCAGGTTTCGAAATGGAAAATTATTAGTTTATACTGAGAACAGTAATTGTATGTTTTGGTATAAATTACATAACCGCATATATGGTTTGTTAAAATAATCTTTAAAGGAAGAATCATGGATTTCAAAAATGGCAACAAAATGAATTTGTTAGAAATATGCAAACTAGGCTCCGACATTGGAGAGGAAGTTACCCAATTAATACAAAATAAACATGGCCGTTTATCCACCTGCTCGTTAAACACAATCTGAACGCATTTTATTGGTGCCGCCTAAGTCAAGGAAACCTTAAAGTACACTTCGGACCTGCGGTTAACTTGTGCAATTACAAGCCTACAAGTTTACAAGCCTTAATCGTTCATATTAGGTTTTCTTGCCATTAACCTGTTTTTGTCTTACCAATTGCTGTTACCTGTTGTAATTTTATATGTAATGACAAATAAGAAAAAAACATGACAAAAAGTTCAAGTCGCGTTAAGTAGAATATCTCCACCTGCAGGTGCTTATTCTTTTTTTGGGAAGTGTTAGTATTCTCTATATTTCCATCATACGAGAAGTAAAGTGATTTCCTAATACTGCATTTTTAATCTGTGATCGTCAGTTTTCCTAGGGTTAATTTTGGATCTTATTGATTACAGACCTCACCCATGCCGAATACCCATCTGTATCAGTTATTGATTGCTGTTAGGATTACCTCCCACAGCAAATATCACTGTAGTTTAATCATTCATCAATTGCGGAAGATCTCAAAGCGCCTCTCAAAGTGGTAGCATTTGAAAACGCTGGCTTTACTGAAGTTTTTCGCGTGGGATTTAACATTTTGAAAATGGAACTTTTTACCTACGCTAGCCGGTCATTAGCCTGGGCTTTCACAACCTTTAATTGCGCACGGCTTAGGTTGGATTTGAGAATTGGTGATCGATGTAGTGTGGAATTTTCTTCCTTTTGGTTAAGCATTGATAGCTTAGTGTTCCATGGGTGTATTCTATGAACCTCTCTTTTTTACTTGCGTGATGTCCCAATTTTGGCAGCATTATGACTGTCATTACCGGTTCATATGACCAAGATATCAGGTATCTTGCCATCGATTGTGGTCACAGATGCTAAGATACCGGGGAAACCGTAAGAGCCGTACATTTTGAATTGCAGTTGGCCAACCAAGACGTGGTTTCATAAACAAAACAACAATTTTCAATCTTAACTCAAAACCGATGTGCTTGGAAGTGAGCCAGGGAAACTGCACTAGTACAAGAGTTCACCAGAGTAGTACTCCGAAAATGCAAATGATCTCGTGATTTTTAGACGGCTGTTCTCACAAGTTGATCACCCAACTCAGAAAAAGGTCTACACGAGGTTCAGATATGATAAGAGAAGTCGAACAAAACACTGATTACTATTTCTATTTTCCGAAGGGAATTTTTATATCCCACTTTGATTTTCTTGACCCGGTTTTTTAGGCTACGTTCAATATGATGAAAGCAATCCAGGGTTTCATTGGCTTTGCTTTTATTACGTTCCATGATTGGTCTAGAAAACTCGCGCCACTCCCTTAACCAATCAGCTGCGAACCTAAAACAAATAGCGAGTTAGGCACTGGCGTTTTCCGGTATGAACTTCTATACTAGCATAGAGGCTCGGTAGTATTCGTTCAATGATGAGGAATTCTGCGCTTTCGAATGGAATTTTCTGCGCAAGTCAGGCGAAGGTTAGAGGCCATGATCACCGCAATGAATCGATGTTTGTCTTACGTCATATGAAAGAATGGAGTAATTAATACTGGGTGAAATCTATGGGACTGCATACGTGAATTTACTCGGGTCAAACTTAGTTAAGATCTGTAAGCATCTTGCAGTTGTTTTTTGTTTTGGTAACTGGTTAGAGATACTTTCTTGTTCTGTTGCCCCACTAAAGTAAATGGTACGGTTTAACTGTTCCCCTTTCGCTGTTGGCGTCTCCCCTTTCGCTGAAGAACTCTGGGAAGCTGAGGATCTCTCAAAAGCTGAAAATTCTTGGGATGTAGAACTCAGGAGCATTGCGCGATGTGGTTACGTCATTCCAAACACAGCAATGCTTTGTTTGTTTAGTTTCCCATGCCGCTTGAAGAAAAAAGTTCAAAATGGACTTAGCTAATTAAAAACAATATCAAGATCGTCAAAAGGACTCGCGCTCTCCTTTGTTGTTTTTACCAATATATATTATAATTAGGAGAAATTCCTTAGTAAGGTCCTCTTCATTGGCCGACACATGTTGTTTTGAGAGCTTGGTTGAGAGAATATGAACAATGATCGGTGACTCACTATGGAAGTTATTACAACTTCAGTGAACGTTAATTTCAGGTTTGAATTTCTCGTGAAGAGAAAAACTTGTTTCTTATTTGAAATGAGTGGCTAAAAATAACTCAAATTCTGTTCGCGCACAGATGCTTTGAGAGATTATTCTTATATCCTTGTATTACTTGAGTTGTTGTCTTGGCGCAACACGCAACCAGTAAAGGCAATCATGTAGGCCTTCGTCTCTAACTTTGAGTGATTTTGATAGTACGGCCAGTGGCGCAAATAAGAGTGAAAGTCGAAATAAATCAGTTTTTTTGTAAAATAACTGAAAATGGTAAGTTTTAGAAAACACAAATTACAAATACCGCATTTGTAAACATTTCTATGAATGTAAACAAGACGGACGTAAACACCTGATTATTTTTCTTAGAAGTGTATTTTTTGACCTCCGAAAAGATTGTGGAATTCTGAGGGGCCTCATGAACTGGTCTTGTTATTTAATATTTATGATTAACCTGGTGATTAATAGGCCTCTCGTTTCTGACATTAAGGACTGAAGGAAACATCTTAATCTTGTCTATATTTAAATGATTATTTTATTGTGCCCACAAGCGGTCAATTAATCCACTTGCTTCAAACCGCTCGTTATAATGCAAAAATGCCCCAAGAATGTTACAAAATATAGTAAAACAATTTTAGTTTTTGCGAGATATTTGCCGCCCCAAATCGAAAGCATAATTTGCGGTTGCAAACCGGAAATCCTCTTCTTAAAAAGTCATAACAAAAAGCGGTTGTCCATGCGGGATTTCATAATCCTCCAAGCAGCTTTCAACCCCAACAGATGACACGCCAATCACTTGTAGAATAGCCAATCACCGCTCGGCGGCATTTGCCAAGACACTGGCAGGCTTCCCAAGCTGTCTGAGAAACAGAAAACACGCCTAAGCATTTCCTGTGGCCTTGCGGGCGGTAAAAAACCCGAATGGAACCCATGAAGATCCTAGAGCAGAAGCCTCACTGCATCTGGGTTGAAAAGCGGCAAACATTATTTGACGCGCTCATGCCCTAGCAGATGTACCTCAGAGAAGTGTTTCATTAGACCAGCAGGCAAATGCTTTTGTAAGCCTGTAAAAGATTATGGTGCTGTCTAGCGATGATAAAATTAAGATAACAGCTCTTTCAAATATAGTGAAGTGTTTGGCCTTTAATACTGTGGTTCTTCAATCTAGGCAATGTTTGTTTATGTACGGAGCCAGCTTATAGATTGCGATCGACCTTGTGAACTCATGTGTTTTAAGCCTTTTACCGCGCGTCGTTCGCATTGATTTTTCCGCCTTCTTGCAGATAGATCCAGGATTGAAGAACAAAGTTAATTTTTTGTTTTCGTGACTGCGGAAGAAAACTTAAGGGTAAAATTAGTGGAAGTATAACAGCTTTTTATCCCTTACTTTATCGCAAAAGGTGTTATTGCATAATTGATTTTTTGTATACAAGCGAAGTTTTGTTTCATCGCCTCAGGGCGAAAAAGGCGGTACTATAAGGAAATATCAAGTCTTTTTTCTGGAAAAAATCACTCATATATTCACCCTTGAAAAAAAATTACAGAAACAATTTGCGAGTATCGTCCTAATGACAATATTTCCCCGGAGATTTCCCTCAGTACATTGATCGTGCAATATAAACTCGAAGATCGAAGGAAAACATACATCATCACTTCCCAATTTAGTTTGTTTGATGCTTTCAATTGTCTCCGAGTGTCACCAATTCACAGTAATTAAACTAATTAGGCCTGCTGCTCTTATCGCAGTGCCAGAAATTGACCGAGGGAGGTCATGATTGGTCAAACTTAATTGCCTCTGCAAACTTCAAAGTAAGTGCCGCCGGATCCAACCCACAAGACGTTGCGGGCCGACCAGCTTCCCTCGTGAAAATTGATGAGGGAGTTTCTAGCTGGATGTGTTGGTTTGGTGTTCTCCTATTACAGTTTAGCATTTTCCTTCCTCTTACAGGGTGAACAGACTGTATATAGCATCCTTGGTACGGAAATGTGAGCTTTAGCTGGGTGGAGGTTTGATTCGTCCGATTACAAGCACCATGCGTGATAATGACGTGAATTTACGGACGTTCTCTGTTGCAGGGTGCGAGGTCTCCGTAGCTTAGATCGACGTACGCCATGTAAGACGAGTCCTCTGGTTGAAGCGCGAGTTTTGATTGCAAGCGGTGAATGGTGAATTAAGGTAAGTTGAGCACTTCATTCACATCGTAACTGTATAAAAGGATCGTCGATGCTATTTATTTTTATGCGGTGTCGTTTGAGCCCTGACTTAAGAAACACGTGTGAAAAGACCTCGACTGACACCTTCGAGTAAATGAGCGCGTTTATCCTGCAGAAAGGATAGCTTTGTACTCTCAGCACGTTTGTGTGTTTTTAATCTTTTCTTTCATAGAGATGCGGAGGTTTTGACAGAGTTTCCTTGTTTGTGACAACAGCTCTCATCTTGCAGGAGGACAAGGAGGAAGCCCGTTGAATGCTTGAGTGAATTTCGATTGAAAATGACGTTTGCCTTTGCAAAGTGTTTGCGGCTTGCTACACGCGCCGAATTAAACCTGAATCAATATATTTACGCTGGCAACTGACCGGTTTATTTTCTTTTCCATTCATTAGAATTGCGGCTAGATCTCAGCACCGTAATCTGGGTATTTCCCCCCTATTCAGATGAGTTTATGGCGTTTAATCGGAGCAATTTTAGTTAATTTCCTTTTGTGGTTGAGTATGAGCATTGTAAACTAGCCTGAATGATAACTTACGGTCCATTCATACAACAGCAATGCACGTGTTTCCTCATCAACTCTGAATTTACCAGTGAGATGCTGTTGTCTTAGAACTATTTTGTTTATGTATAGTCCTTGGTCAGCGAGAAAGGTAGCGAAAAATTTAAAAGAACATTTGATCAAAAGTTTCGAAACGGGGAACCGCATTTTCATTCACGCGTTAGGTTTGTGGTTTTTCATTTCGTTAGGCTTAAAAACATTCAGCGCTTTTGGCAAAACTGGCAGTTTAAATATAATTTTCTCTGATGTTTAGTCAGATGTGTGCCTCTTTAGTTTGACGTTTTCCTTGCGACAAAACGACGTAAGTGAAGATCGCGGGAAATCGACATGGCAATAATTTATTATTTTGAAACTTGCACGAATCTCACGCATTCTGTATTCAACAAGATCAAATCGATGGATAGAATACCACTAAATTACTCTTATCGAAAACTATTATGACTACAGAATTCTAAGCCCGTTTTGGAACAATCTTCGAAAATAATTCGAACATTGTAGTTAAGCTCCACATCCTGTCTAAGATAAACGTAATTGCCATGAAATTACCAGAGGACTTCTTCATACAAAAACAAAACAATTATTCACGCCGTTTGTATTGTTCTTAATTGAAAGGTTTCTTTTTTTAAAGTTTTAAAGAATTAGACCAAACAGAACAAAAGAGAACCCACGACTGTTTTCCCCAGCGTGATTATTTCGCTTTCTAGTTATTGTCTGCAGTTTCGTCGTGCTTAACATTAACAAAGTGGATTTCTCCTCACTAAAAAACATTTATTCTCATCCAGCGATGTTTATTTTGTGTATTACAGTTCCACAGGAAAATCCCCGACCGGTTTTGATATTCGCCTAAGCTCTTTAATTGCAACATTTTAATCCGGCCTTTTTGTCTTTGCAGCTCTCTTTGTTTCGTTCTCCCTAATTTCTGATCAAAAGAGATATCTAGACCGGCAACTTTCTTATCGTTGACTCTGTTTTAAATTTGCTGTTGTACAGTCATGCGGCCTCTCTCTCTCTTTTTTTCTCCTGGGAAAAGTTTTTTAAACGTTCGTTTTTTTCGGAAAGCATTTACATCACATTTGAGTTTGAAAATTTGTCCATGAAATCCAACAAATGATACTAAGATAAACAGTGCACAGTGAAGTATTTTTAAAATCAATTATGTTTTGTTTCTTTCATTTCATGCAACAAACTGTGAATGAAGCTTCAAATTTTATATACCCAAGGGTTTTTTTTGACATTTTGAATTTTAGGAAGCATCTTGATTAGGCAAACATTGGTTTAAAGAGCAGTTGTTGTGTATGCTGTCAAAGAAGTGTGTATAATTTTGTTTTAATCAAGTTCTTGGGAAGTCGTAAGATTTATTCACAGAACAGAAATAAAAAGATAAAAGTTTGCTCAGCCACAACACCTGACTTCTGAATAATATTTGTTTTTACCTTTTGTCATCAAATGAATTAACTGTCATACCATGGCCAAAATTTCTTTCATCATCCCAAGAGCAAAGTGTTTAATTTGTGTCACTATTGAGAAGATTTAAGGAAAGTGATAGAGAATTAGTTAAGAATAAAGGGAATGCATCAAGTACATCAAAGATTTTCCTTTTAATTTGATGAGAGAGCTTTCTTTATTGGGTATTTACTCATATTGGAAGACTCAGCTGTTATTTAAATGATGCCAGTGTTTCGGTTGGTTTTTTGGCTTGCTTCATGCAAACAAGACATGAAAAAAAAAAAGAAATAAAACTGTGCTAGCTTTGGTGCAGTCTTAAAATTGTTTTGTGGTTTTAAATGAGCACAGATTTAGTTTATCTTATTTCTAAATTTTGTTGTGAAACACAATGAAACTTAGTAGTTTTGATGTATATGGTTTTGTATTGCTTGATTTGCATATGAATTGAGTCTTTCTTGTTACAATGAATTGCTGTTTAAGACAAGTTAGACTAAATGCACTGTACTTTTAAAATCAACATAAGTGATGAAGTTTAATAACATTTAATTATTGACAACTTATATGTGTGACTAATATTACCTGAAAGCCTTTTTGCAGAGTTAATACAAATTATTAAATTTGTTGTGTCACATCAGAATTCTTCCTTTGATGTATTCTAAATAAATAACCATCTCAGTGTTCATTTGTTTCTAGAACTTGAATTCTAACATGCTGGACTTTCATGTGGCATCAGTATTATTTGAAAATTGTAGTTCTCTCTATCACTAGATTCTGGTTTTTTTTTCTGACAAAAATGCTCCATACCAGGGTTAAGGAGATAGGCATTTAATGATAATGATAAGGAAATTATATAGTGCTAAAACTATAAACAATATTCAGAAGTGCTTTATATAAGTTAAAGTCCTATACTACCAAAAAGAAACCTACCAGATACCATATTTTAACAACCTTTCTGTTGACAGAAACGAAATATCAATTGAGGTACCTTACATGCTCTAAGGATCCCCTTGGGGGTTATTTATTTTGAGAGGGGTCAGTAATGAAGAGGTTTGTTTGAAAGGGAGTAATGTCTTTGGGAAAAAAAACATCAAGAATATGAATATTGAATGATTCGCTCCGACCAAGGGCTAATGCTCGAAACGTCAGCTTTTTTAATCGTAACGGTGGCCAATTTACCATTTCAACTTTGTTGATCTATTCAAATTACATCAAAAATATAGCTTTTTTTAAACTGGAATGCTACCCTGCCCAAACCTATAACATTACCAGAGTGGAATAATATAAGGAGCATTACTATGGCATTTTGATTACAATCAGGTTTTTATTTTGTAAATTGTGTCTAGGGAAAGGGAAATGTAGAGGTGACCATGAGTGTCACCACATCTTTAATTGCCATTAACATCTGGATAGCTACGGTGAATAGTAGACATTTGTCAAAGAAGGACCATTTGAAAACTGTAAGTGGCTGTAAAATTTCCCAACAAGAAAGCCTTAACCAGTCCAATTTCTAAAGTAATACTTGAATGTCTATCAGTAAGCAGCTGATCCTCCAAATCAATAACAGAAATACTTTTCAGAATGTAAGACAGACATTAAATTTTGAAAAGAGTTGTAAATATGTGAGACATTGCTTGCAGTGTTTCCTAGCTGCACTGCTAAAGAGTGTTGACAGTAGGTCTTGTAAAACAGTCAGTGTTTCTGATCATTGAGCAGTGCTTGAGAGCTCAAAGTTTCATTTTTATCCAAGCACAGTGTAACTGTACTTGTACTGAGAGGACATCAAGAGGAGACTAACAGGTGTCACTGAATATGATTATTTTAAAGTTACCATTATCACTTGGTTGAAATTTAATGTAAATATTGTGACCCGCATGTCTTGTTGATATTAATTATAATTAACCCAGTTTTATTCCTTCAAGTTAACTACAGAGGAGAAGTAGCTGAAAGACCAAATGTTTCTTTGCCCTCCAAGATACATGTATTTCCCATCAGTGCGATCCAAGGTATAATTATATATAAATGTAAACTTAAAATTTATGCTAAAAGTAGTGATTTGTCTTGATAATGTGTTTTAAAGTGAAACGGAGTTCAAGATAAAAAAAAATGACATATTGTTAAACTCAGATGAATGACCTGACCTTGTAATGTGGAAGAGGTTGAATTTTTATTGATAACATACATCAACATAAATGTTAAATAACTTATAATATACCTTATCAAATGTTAAAAGTTACTTATAATTTTAATTCCCATTTATTATCATCATGTAATTTATTACATATTTTGAGTTGTAGGCCTGATGGTTAGGGATGCTCATCACCCTTCTTTTCTTACAATACTTCATGAAAAAGACAGCGAAGTAATATTTTGATGTTGCCTTGTCAGCTTATTGTGACATAATTTGCACAATAAGCAATCTTAAGCAGTTTTTTTTTCTCAAATGCTCTATTTAAAAGCCATTGTTCACATCTGAGTTGCAGCTTCTATTGCATTTTGATTATTGTTTGGGTCTTGCAAAGAAAAAAAAAACGTTTTTGTAAGGGTCGTAGTTTTATGGTTCCTGATTGATGAGAAGAGTGACTTGTAAAACAGCTAACCTATGCTAAGACACCCAACTATCCAAATTGGGCAAAAGATGAAATAATTTGGATAGGAAATGGAGATGAAATGTTTAGTTCTGGTTTATCAAGGACATAGCTTGCTAAGAACAGTCGGGGGGTTATTCTAACATGCTAGCGCATCAACTAGACTCTCAATGAATTCAAGTAGGTGGTAGAGAAACTGTGAGAAATCATAACCTTGGGTTGTACTATTTGGTAACATACTGATTGGACACTCGTGTCAGCTTTTAAGAACACAGGATTTTGTAACACTCAAAGTTTCAATGTTGAAATTAGACACTTGCTTTTGTCATTTCAAAGTTTGGTTGTATTGCAGTTTTTGGCACCACAATAATATCCTGTTCCTTAATTTTCCAACGGATGAGAATTTTGACAATCTACATAACCTTGAAGAGTGAAAGGCTTAAGAGTTCAACCAAAACAAAAATTAAGCCACTCTGTGGGTACAAACTGAGGCATAGCAAAGGGAGATCCAGGGGTGCACTTGACCCCACCACCTCTGTGAGATAATTTTTTGGTTAAGTAGTCAGCTTAGAAAGCTTGTAATTTAGGTTTGCACTAAATGCCTGAATGTGAAGAATCTTGTGGCGTAAATCTCATTTAGTGCTCGATGCACTTCTGTTACTGGTCCTTTTCAGGATGTGAATATGAGCCTGATGAGACACAAATTGAAACTGCCCCTTAGAAATATCCCAGCTGTACCCCTTCATTTGTATGTCTTGAGGGCTTGTCTAGAATAACCCATTGCGAGTAATTTCCCTGTAATTCCCCCTCTCCTTCAAGCCAACTTAGATGTCTTTGTTTTGCTTCTCTTGACTCTTTTACATCTTTTTAATGAGGATAGCTTTATTTTGTTAAGGAAGACTTAATGAATCACAACACCTTGCATTGCTTTGTTGATCATTCCTAGCTGTATTTTCTTTTTAATAATGTGGTAATGTGCCGCAGGGGATGGCAACAGATCAAGTGCAGTCAGAGCCAAGTGCTTCCCTTGAAGCAATACCTGTAAGTTGTCAGTGAGAGATAGAAAACATTTTATTGTTAATTTTATGTTCTTCCCACTAACATTACAAAGTGTAATTGGATAAAGATTTAAAAATTCTAATTGCATTTGAGGATCTGCCCCACAGACCAATCTGCAGCCAATTGGCTTCCGTCCAGATTTTTTCACAAACATAAAATAATAATTTATTTGGCAAAGCATCATTATAAGATTGAGGTGTAAGCTTGTAGATTAAGGTCAGGATTTCCGGTGAGCTTGTAGATGTGCTTCAGAAAGCTGCAAGGACTAGTGTTTACAGTCACTAATTGAAGTTTAAATTATTTTTCCACACTTTGTTAATAATGATCAGCACCCTCTATTACCCAACTGATTGTTCAAATTCAAATTAATTATTATTTCAGGGAAAAATACTCAACAGTAACATTGTGACTTGACATACTTTTTCCTAGTCTAAAAGGGCCAGACAAGAGAGTTGTGACAATGAAAAAGAAAGGTGATTTGTTTGTAGAGTAGATAGGACTATCAGTGGGCAAAGTTGGTCTTATTACATATTACATGTATGTAGAGACAACATGTATGTATCTCCAAATAAATTCTGTTGTTGACACTCTCAGTCTCTGTGATGTAAGTTGTGAGAAAGAATTGATACTCAGGTGTAGAGTTTTAAAACTCAGGAAGTATCCTCATTTTAATGTTTTATTATCTCTCCAGTAGTGATGAATCCAGTCACGGTGGATCGCCTGCACAGCAGCCTGTTAATGGTTCATCAAGAGATGGAAAGACAGTCAATGCTAATCAAAATGCTGACAAGAATGAGTCATCCTGGGACGTCAATGAAGCTGCAATTACTGTAACTACCGCTGATCTTGAAGTTGTAGCTCCTAATGTTGTTGGACCTGTTTCTACAGCAACACTTAGCTATCCCTCATCTGATGGTGCCACCACTATGACAAATCTAGATGGATGCAACTTTGGGAACCAGGCCATAGCTTCTGGTGTAACTGACAGCTCTGGCCAGTATCAACAGCTCTCTGGGCAGTACACTGCAAATACTGCTGCTTACTATGGCCAGCGACCTTATCCTCACATCGTCCCAGCGCCCCAGCAGGGTATACAGCAGTATAAGTCAACAGGGGGTGTAATACAGGGAACAGGAATAACGCAAGTTGCTGGGTATGTGTATCCACCAGCAGCGCCTCAAGGTGGCTACCCCATGGTACAGACAGTGAGGTATCCTGCTGTGAATGCAACAGTTCCCGCTGTGAATGCAACAGGAAAGACTTCTGTTGATTCTCGCAATGCCTCCCAAGGGAAAGCCGCTGGGGGAAACATCCCAGATATATCAACCCTTCGGCAAACTGCAGGAACTTATGGTAATCCTTATGGAACAGTTACATTCCCTGCCATCATTCAACCTGGTCAGAATATGTATAACAATCAATATCAAGCATCCTATGGGACAGCTTATGTAGCTTCAACAGGAACCCCAACTTCTAGTACCACAGCATATACTGTCCAACAGTCTGAACAAGGTTCTTTTCAATATGGTTATACTAGTAATCAGCAAACTTATCCATACAACTACTTGAGCCCACCTCCCCCGGCTTATGCTCCCTCCCCATACATTACACCACCGCCCAATGCTGTTGCTGGTCAAAGCAGCAGTTACCAACTTACTCAGCTTGTTGCTGGACAGGCTTCTCAAGGCGTCACAACCAATGGGGAAAGAACACACACCACAAGTACAGGTACTTTGATTGTTGTGGTAGTTATTTATTTAATATATAATTAAATTTTTTATGGGCTCTGATTTTTCAACTTGTTAATTAAGTTTTTTTTCTTAATTCTTGATGATTCAAACCATTACTCTCTTACAACACCAAGTACAACATGCAAGCTTTGCTCTAGCGGTGATAAGCTTCTGTTCATTCAAACCAATTCCTTTTTCCCTACAAAGGTTTTGCTTTATTAGTTTGGTAATGTGAGCCCTTGGTGGCCTGTGTCTAACCCCTACTTGGCTTTTTGGTGTAAAGTACGTGCACAAGTAGTTTACATAGCGTCCTTTCTGTGGTTGAGGGAAGAAATCACCTTATTCAGTTTGTTTCTGAGGTTGTTTGAAAATCCTATATTCATTGGAAGGGTGCCTTAAATGAATTCTGTCTGAGAATGAACAGGCATCATAGGAATAAATCATTAGGAATAAATCATTAGGAATAAATCATAAGGAAATTTGGAGGGTGAAGGTGGAGGATGTTGACTTAAAGGGAAAAACTTCTCTCTGTCTTGACAAATTACGACTAAATTTTGCAACATGTGCAAACCATAAGCTGAAGTGTGTTTTGAAAGAACAATCTGTCTGTTGCTCTTTGGTAAATTCTTAGGGCCACTTAAATTGTTCAAAAGAGACCCTGATACAAAACAACATCACATCTATCAGTAAAAGATGAGAAGACATGCGAGAAAATTATCATCAACAGATACAGAAGAAAAGACAGACTGAAATTGCACTTGACTAAGTTGAAAAACTTTGTACTGTGACGTGTCGTGTTTTACAATGGCTACTCTTATCCTTCCTTGCAAGGGAAATATGTACTTCACCTCTCAAAACAGTGCCTAGAACTCTTATTCAATCCATGCAATCAAACATGCTGTTTCTAGCTCTGCTATTCAGGCAGTGCTTTACTCTGTAAATCTTTCTAATAAACTCTTTTGCTGCCATTCTTGAATGTGTCAACAAAATTGTGTGGGTTATTTATCTCCTCAGACAAGGGTTGAGTTTTAATACAGTCATGTATTCTATGTGATCTTAAACAACGGCAAGTTCTATAGGAGAACACTTACCATTTTTAGATTAAATCAATAATTACTCAAATTTTTAAAGTTGTTTCAAAGTAAAGTAGGATATTGTATCATTAAGTTGTTGCTTTTGGAAAAAAATCAGCATCTGTGAGAGGGACATCTGCAAAAATTGGTTTTGTCTTTCTTTTAGTATGACTGTGGTATCTTGTTTTTAATAGGTGAGAAAAACATTTTCCACTTTTAGATTCTGTATTATTTGTTTATGAACTGTTCTGTGGTTGAGTATTTTTTAATTCAAACCAATAACATTTTGCCTTTAAATAAGTTTAAATTAGAAATGAACACTATGTGAATGTTGCACATAGAAAATGTCTTTCATCCTTCATCTGAACACATCAGAATTTATTTCGACATGTTTTAACAAAATTTTAGACGGATTTGATGGTTTGTAACTACTCAGCTCCCGTGCTGCACTTGAATGCTTTGAGGAATTGTCTCCAAAATTTTATAAGAAGGTCAACATTTGTATATTTTATGGCAAAGACGTTTTTTCTTTTTTGTTTGTTGTCCATTCCTTTGTAAAATTGCATATAAATGCCCCTTGAAACTTAAGTTTAGTCTCCCAAGACCTTAAAGCGTTTTTGGCATAATCAACTTGAAGAAATCTTTGTGGTATATTGCAAGAAAAGACAACATCTTTGGGGGTTTGGAGAGTTGTTTCACTTATTTCCTTTCTGTCATGACATGTGTTCCTTAATGAGAGGGTTTGTTTAAACAGAAATCCATTTAATGGTACAAATGTTTACTTAAAATTCTAATGAATCAAATTAAGTCTCCTGGAGTGGCGAAAAAAGCCATTAGTATCACATATGTTGCATCTGATATGAATATATTTTGTGTACATCTGCTCACTGAGATTGGAATAATTATCTACTTGTTTCTTGTACAGCTTTGAAGGTAGCACTTCTTTTGGATTCTATGAGCAACAGGGTCTTGTTTAGTAGGAAAATTTTTTACTTCTTGAAGACTTTTATTTTTCAATGCAACAAACTAGACAGATTCAGGAAAAGTTTTATTTGTTTTAAGTATACAGCTGTTGGCAACATTAAGTGAAGGGGATGGAGTTGATCAAAATCACAATGGAATAACAACTTTACTTAAACTGCACATGTACACAGATGTATTCAGATCTCAATTTTGGTGCTTGTTTTTGTTTAAAACAAGTAGGAAGCTGGCAGAGTAAAGGAAATGAGTTTTATCTTTATTTGGATTATGTGGAAGGATAAGCACTTAGAATCTTAATGTATTAATTTGTTGAAAGCTGTGCTTGGCTATTAAGTTTGCTAAAAGCTTTAGCATACATCAGAGCTTGTGTACACCCACACATTTTAACACAGATCATACAAAGTTCTTTCTAGCTTTCAAGCTTTTTTGCTCTTTACTTAATTTACTTTATCTTCCACGCTAATGTGTGTGGCATAATTCTAAAAAAATAATGCATAAATATTCCTGAAAGTTAGATAAAATTAGGCTGACTGAACTAAAAGGTAGTGTGTAGTAATATTTTACAGCAGTTATTTTCTAAAGGCTTTATTTTTATAAAGAATAGAACAGAAACAAAATAATTTTTTGTAGCTCTACTTACACCAAAACAAATAGATGGTGCAAAATGAAGTAGTTCCTGTCGTCTTTGAAAGGAGTCCTAAAATTATGTACAATGTTTTACAGTTACTATATTCCTGACTTAATATTTTATTCAGAGGGAAATGAAAGAAAGGAAACCAACAAAGCTTGTTGTGTAGATGAAGCAAGTTAAATTTTGGAGATGTTTTTTCTGTTATATCCTTATTTGAATGTATCAGAATATGAGAGATTAAAAAAAAACAGTGAACAAAAAATAAGGTGAATTTTTGAATTTTCCCATGGAAAAAGAGATTTCACCATGACTCCTGCTGTTAAATTAAGTCATTGGCAGCTCAAAACATGCACCAGTTAGTGGATATGTAACTGTCATGAAAAAAAAATTATATTGAACTTTGTATTTGGTCTTGATCCTTGGCTGCCTTAACACATTTATGTGCAAATATTTCTGATATGGCTTGATGTACTTCTAACTATTTTTAGGCACCTATGCGTACTTGTTTTTTAAGCATATTTGCAATCTCCCCCCCCCTTTTTTTACCACAATACACCAAAGCATAATAATGCATATGAAAAGAAGAAGATTTAATACACCAGCTATGAGTAAACAGTGAAACTTCTAGAAGGGCTCAGCTGAGGAGTTCTTGCTCGTGTCTGCCTCCTAAAGACTGTTAGCCTTAAAAAGGTTTCTTTCATTGCACAGTGTTGAGTACAAGTTCATTTTCACTTGTACTCAACACTTTTCATTAAATGAAAAGTTAGGGACTTTACCCACTGTTTACTTAACACAAGCTGTACTTTGTATGGTTGACATAGTAACCGCCTCCCGGTTAGCTCAATGGATAGAGCGCTGGACTGTTGTGTGGGAGGTCGAGGGTTTGAGCCCCGGCTGGACCAACACTCAGGGTCTTAAAATAATTGAGAAGAATTTGCTGCCTTTCTATAACATCAAGAAATGGTTAGATATTCTAGTCTTCTCGGACAGGGTTGAATAAATGGAGGTCCCGTCTCCTGCAGGGTTGGGGTAGGAGACGTTAATTTCCCACACACGAGATTACTGTGTGATGGATGCCCTCCCCTGGGGTGGGATATTGGGCGCACTTAATTTGGAGCCTCGCTCTGTTGTGCGACCCTCACCATACTCTGGTGAAAGTGAGTAAATATAAGCTGTAATACAATTTGATCACATTGCAATTTACTATGGTGTGTACTTCACAGACACCCCATATTAAATGGCCACTAGGAAGAATTCTGTGCCCATACACGTGATGCACAATTCACTTATCACCATTGTCTTATTTGGTTTGATAACAACAGGAGACCTTGCCCAGAGGGAACAACATGACATGCATTTAAATTATGACAGAGTATTTGATGCTAATCTTAAACTGCTTGTATCTGTAGGAAATGCTACCATTCAGTATTCTCCAAACCTTCCATCCTCACCAAGCCCTCCTCACTCACCTGGGGCTGGTTCTGGAGCAGACACTCCACTTATTAATAGTGTGGGTATGGTGTCTGCAAACATAGGGATGCCTGGTGGACAGGATGGAGTACAGGTACTTGTGGATTCAGGGACTGGCTCCCCTGGATTGTTAGTCCAGGGAGCAAACAGAGGGCGTGGTCGAGGGGGGAGAGGTGGAAGGGGTAGAGGAGGTGGCAGGGGAAGAAGATCAACATCAGGGCCCCCTCCAGAAATTGACCACAACATTGAGGTAAGTTGGCTTTAGTGATGTTGCTGGAAATTGCTTGTTTTAGTCCTGAAGGTGAAAAAATGGTCATAACTCCAATAATTTCTCATAATTAGTCATTTCTTATAATTGAATTGTTGTCATTGTTAGATGTCAGTGATAGTGATGTTAGGATCAAATGAAGTACTGAAGTCTGAGATGCTGGATGACACCTAAAAGCTGCTTTCTGATCAAGCAAACATTGACTTGCTTTTGCATTTTATTGATTAGTTTTTGTCTTTACTCTCTAGCGGATCTTTATTTGGGATCTTGATGAAACAATTATTATTTTCCATTCACTCCTAACGGGAGCCTTTGCATCAAAGTTTGGCAAGGTTAGTTAGATGGAGGAGTAAAGACTGTAAGCAGTTAATTCTGTTTAGAACTCTGATAGGGTAAGAGTAAAATGTTATTGTTTGTGTTGTTTATTTTCTGGGTTGCAAGATGTCCTCACAGGTACTGTTGATTTATATTTTCATAGGACCCTCCTAATTCAGTGTCATTAGGCCTTCGAATGGAAGAAATGATTTTCAATTTGGCGGATACACATTTATTTTTTAATGACTTAGAGGTAAGAAGCCATAAAATCAGCTCAAATCAGGGAATTGTGGTGTAATCCTCAATCAATGCTAATGTAAATTAAACTCAGAAGTTTTGACTGAGAAAATCATTAGTTTTGCCACAATTGTAAAGTCCATGGAGATTGATACTAACTGGCAAACATGCTTTGTAGGATTGTGATCAAGTACATATTGACGATGTTGCAGCAGATGACAATGGACTAGATTTAAGGTGAATTTCTCTTGTTTAGATGCTGTGGCATTGTAGATTGTATTTAGTATTCTAATGATAATTTACTCCAGAACATCTTTGCCTGTGTGCAGTACCTACAATTTTGAGGGAGATGGATTTCATGCAGCAGCCACGTCAGCCAATCTTTGTCTGGCAACTGGTGTTCGAGGTGGGGTTGACTGGATGAGAAAGCTGGCCTACAGATACAGACGCATCAAGGAGATCTACAACAGCTACAGAAATAATGTGGGAGGTAGGAGATGGTTTGTTTTAAGTCTGCTGCAAACTTTATCACAGAGACGATTTCATCCTTTCGTTGTTATGATCTCATTGGTAATTCTCTTGACTGTCTGCCACTATTCTTATGATATTAGTTCAGAGAATTTGGCATTGAATTAACTGATAATCTCCTAATTTATTTATTTATTCTGATTTTTGCGTTGTGTTTTTTTCTTTTTTTTTTTTCAGGTCTTCTTGGTCCAGCAAAGAGAGAAACATGGCTTCAACTGCGCATGGAGTTAGAGGCTACAACAGATTCATGGCTTACACTTGCCTTGAAAGCATTAACACTCATCCATTCTAGGTAATTTTAACTTTCTTGTCGTGGAACAAATTGTTGGAATGTAGAGACTGGTGTTGTTCCTAGTTAATGTTTTAGTCATGCTTGGAAAATATTGAACTTAGTTACAATATTGCTCTCCGGGGAGCATTCATTTTACAAAATACCTAGACCTCTTTACTTTTTCCTAAACAGGTCAAATTGTTTAAACGTTATGGTGACTACCACGCAACTTGTTCCTGCTCTCGCAAAGTGTCTCCTCTATGGACTGGGTGGTATTTTTCCTCTCGAAAATATTTATAGCGCAACTAAAGTAGGTAAGTGGAGCTGATTTGAAAGCGTCTGACTATCAATTTATCTAGCGTGAAATGACACACTCGGCTATTTTAACGATACTGATAATTAAAAGGGTTAACCACAAACTAACTTACAGGTAGGAAAGTATTTTTTGTTTGTTTGTTTTGTGGCAAGAATGATATCGTGAGAGTAATGTTCTTTTAAAACTTGTCACAGAACAGTAATCATGAGGTCGTTTACTTTCCGAGTCAAAATATCGATAAAAATGTAACCTCTCAACAATTTAAATACGTTTCCTTAAAACAGGCAATGAGAATCAATAAAATCTTAGCTCTGAAATACCAAATTCTCTTCACTACTTTGCAAGGAAAAGAATAGCACCCAGAGGGGAGAATTACAAATCAGATATTTTACTTCATAGGAAAGGAAACCTGCTTTGAAAGAATCTCAAATCGATTTGGAAAGAAGTGTACATATGTAGTCGTAGGAGATGGGAGAGATGAAGAAATGGCCAGCAAACAGGTAATCACGCGTTGTGTAATTTCTTGAACGCCATTTTAATCGAGTGTCTGAAATAACATGGGGTTGTTTTGGTTTAGGATTTTTTTGGTTCTGATCGCGCTAAGAAATTCTCGTTACCCTCTCAATCAATTAGATACAATTACGGCCAATCTGGACCCGCTCGTTAAGCAGTTTGCTTGCTTTAACTTTGAGTTCTCAATGACTCCTTATGTTTAATTGGCTTTTTTTTTTTCCAACGACATTCAGTCGGATTGTGCCGTATTTGACTCTTTGAACCTCACGGTAATATCTCATTCCTTATCCAGTTTTCAAATATCAGTTGTATCATACTCGATCGAAGCACCTGAACTTGTTAGTCATTGTGCTTGCGAATGCTCAACTAAAAAAACTATTATGGAAGTTAACTATTATATGAAGTTAACTATTAACTTCATACACATTATTAGTGTGTGGAACTTCCCTTTCTATTCTGACGAAAATTTCTTCCAAAAATTAGTCAAGATTTTGCAATGACGCGCGAAAATACGGAAGATACTCCCGACACTTCAAGACGTCTAAGAAAACTTAGCATTAAGTGGTGTTATTTTGTTGCAGATGGGATTCCCTTTCTGGCGAATTGGTACTCATACAGACTTAATCAACCTCCATCATGCGCTAGACCTGGGACATCTCTAGTCAATTGACAGACTCTCTGCTGCTTTGTTGTGGCACTCGTTAGAGCTTCTTTATTTCTTTGTGAACGAATGAAGAAAAATTGAACATGAGAAAATGAGTCATGTATCGTTTGGGATGTTGACAAAGAGAAGGGTGATCGTTACTATTTTAAGCGCTCATTTTATACTGCAAACATAACCATGTTTGAATTTCGTCATAGATTAGATTCTTGTTCCCTTCGAAAGAATTTAACAGCCCAGTCTCTCTCCGTCTGTCAAAGATCTGTGTTGCAAGGCGGTTTCTTGCCCTCGTGATCACTTTCTTGCATAGCATTACAAAGAGGAATTTATGTCAGTATTTGAGCAACTGCTCACTTTCCCCTCCCCTAACCGCCAGGCTCAACAACAGCGAACTGATAACAAGTTAGGGGAGGGCCTGGTGCGCAGTTGCTCAGATTGTACTGCCATTGATCCACAAGGAGTATCTCAGGAGAGTAATTCTCACTGACTATGGACTTCCTATGCATACGTAAGTGTTTTATTCATGGACTTCTATACATTGAAGCTACTCTGTAAAGAATAATAGTTATACTCGCTTGTCATTTATATGGTCCCAGACTTTCTTGTACATTTCCTTTAAAAAGTATGGACGGCTACAACAATAATTTCGAAGCTACTATAATTGGAATACTTCCGCCTAGGGAGTTGCTTTAAGAACCACATTTCTCCACTGAAAGCGCAGTGAAAGTGGTAGATATTAATTTACTCGCTCTTCTTGCGTCTCTTTCCATGTGGGGTTTTTGGATACGTTCGTATAACCAAACACTATAGTTAACTAGAAATTTGTGAAGCTTTTTTTCAACGCAGATATTAGTAACGTATCCTGCAGTTGGTTCTGTTTAGTTGTTTAGTAATGTAGTTTGCAAAGTACAAACGAGATTTCGTGGTATTGTGATCCAGAGACTGATTTGTTTAGCTTTGCTTTTTGCATGCGTGAAGAGTTAATCTTAGAATTCTATTGCAATATTGGAAGAAAATAATGTCAAAATTTGTTCTACAGAATTGTCAAATTATCATTACATATTATGAATTTTATATATATAAATACATAATTTATGTATATTGTCAGCAAATTGAAATTAAGATTATTACGCCTTAAAGTATGTAACATTTGGGAACATCGATAAAATTAAATGTGTTCCTTTGATGGAATAACCTCAACTATCCTGAAGTTAGTCATATTTTAAAGTGTTTTTCTGGGCGTCACTACTCCAATCATTATTCAGGCTCTTTTTCAGAATTGAAGGGGAGGGGGGGGGGAGGATCTTGTACGTCAGCTAAGTGATGGCTTATTTCTTTACATGGTGGCTTACTTCTTTACACCTTACCCCGTTTTCTCTCGCTCGAAACAACCAGGATGTTGCTACACATCATTGGGTTCGTGTCTATCGTAAGCACCTTCTTCCTCTCCACCCAACGCGCCCCTCTTAGTATTTTAATTAGTTTGTTATGAATGCTGTGGGAGGAAGACAAATCACCGAAGTAAATTCAGCTCATGCTTCGAGCATTAATTCTTAGTTGGAGTACCTCGGGTATTAGAGAGAGGTACCCTTCCCTAGTATTCCGGCAGGGTTACTTGGCGATTACCAAATACAATTTTTTCCTTACGAATGAGGAGCGGCACTTAAAGAATTGACTGACTTGGCGAAGAACACAACATTATGATCCTGCGTTCGGCTTCAGTCTGGCTTGATAATAACCAGCAGGCCTGAGCTTTTCTGGATTTTCATAGCTTCGGATGTTACACAGATCCCTTTCGTTCGGAGCCTGGCGCCCAAACTGTTGGATAACTATGTTATAGTAATGGAAGGTAAACACATTGATGCTGAGGGGAAGTTCTTCCGTGGAGAAAACCTGGTCACACCTATCTTGAAACCAACTTCAAGAAGGTATGCGAGTTTGACTTGATACCCAGTCGAGACATCTCGCGTGGAAGCATCATACGAGCGACTTCGACTCCGAGTGAAAATCGAAAAAATGTGGCACGTGGTAGAAAAATTGAAAACCTTCCTATTTTTCCCAGGGAGACCATATAGTGAACATAGAAACGTGGTAAGGTTTTTTTTTTTCCAAACTTGCCTCTTTATCCTAGGAAATTCACTAAAACTGAAAAGAGCGTCGGAAGCCGTAAAATGGCGGAAATTAGAGGCAAATGAACATTGCTCATGAAAAGCGCAAAAGAAAGCAAGCCCATATAAATGTAACAGACTTGTATAGGAAGAATAGAGGTATGTGATATTATGTGATATAAGTCTAAAACGGGACCATTTCACTTAATTTGGAGCTGTTGGAACACTTTTGAAAATCAATATTTCAAAATCCAAATATCGCATTTCGTAGCAAATTTTCAATTATCATTTTTCCCCATGGGTTATAACTCAGAATCGGTACAGGTTAAGCTCATGCTAAGTGGAAATAGTGTTGTTTTCGATAATATAAAAATTAGTTTGGGGCTTTTCATTTCCGCACGGAAAAACCAGGCTGAACTTTGTGAAAATCACAACATCGGCTTGTACGCCACGACATAATCAGGCACCCTGTGGTTAACTCCGAAATTTCAAGCATATTTTTTAGCAGTTAACACCGTGGTCGATTAGGAAATCAATACAATAAGCTAGTCTTGCATGGCTAACGTCGACAAATTGGATTTTATCCCTGGTTTCGTTTTCAATTCTCATCCATTTCCCATGGTGAAATTGTTTACAATGTCACATTCCGTAAGCTGACGGAGGGCGTCTATTTTTCTTGGCATATTCGAACACGTTTAAGTTTTAAGAAAGTGCCAGGGTAAAATTAAGCTTCATTGTGGAATTGAAAGACGACAATTTAATCATTTATACCGGTGGGTCAAATACGGTTGAAGGCGGGAAGCAATCTGATACCGCTATAGATTTAACATACTCGAGCGTCACGCAAGGCTGAAATAATTTCAATCTCAAAAAAATTTTCTTCTTCCCCTTTTGCGATTTTCGGCCCCGAAAATTACGGATAATAATATGTAAATGACACTTCTTCATTAGATAATATAGATAAGTATATACTAAAACAGTGGATAGCGTTGAAGGCGCGCTCTGATTGGCTAGTCAAACTCCGAATATCCTTTGCTATTTACCTCCAAGCAACTCGGGGAAAAAATGGCGTCGGTTTGCATTCGTGACAAGCGAAGAATTCACTCAAATTAACGACGGTGGTGTATATTATCTCACTGTTTTAATATATACTAAGACAACTATTCACCTCAATGTCGGTGGTCAGCGGTGGATATTTACCGAGCCGCGAAGCAGCTCGGTAAATATCCACCGCTAACCACCTCCACTTTGGTGAATAGTTGTTAAATATGTGACCTTGGAAGAGTGTTTCACTGAGAAGCAGAGAGACAACTGTAGGAGGACTGGACCCACCCCGTTGAAAACCCCTTTGGTAACTGTTTTGAACTAAAAATTATTATTAGAAGGCTGTGTCTCACAAGGACTGGGAACTACCGAATTCACGAATTTGATTGGCTGAAATCAATATTGAAAGCGGTCTAGATTTTCCCATCTAGACGGGTCTAGGAAAAAAAGGTACAAAGAATATAAAAAATTGGCATATAAGACACAGCCATATAATAAACATCTTATTAACCGAGCTAGGTCGGTCTGCGTCGGAGAATTCTCCCATACAGACCTCCCGCTCGGTTAATAGGAACTAAATAATTGGACTCAATCGTGAGTGAATGAATACACTGTGATAGGGTTTTTTTTTTTTTCGGTGATTATCAAACATATGGCATCGTTAGACGGAGGAATGCTAAAGTTGTTATGCTAGAAGAAAATATGATGCGTTGATCAACTGAAACCTCAACATCACCTCTCCTCAGGAATTTTAACTTTTGAAGATTGGTTCCCACCCCCCTGGGCCAAAACCATGTTCAAATGCCCTGCCCAAGTGCCAGATTTTAGTGGGTCTCAATGGAGTTAACCGTTAGCCGTAGAACGGAAAAACAATTAGCCGTTAGGCGTAAAAATTGACAAATTTTAACCGTCAGACGTAAATAAAGTTAACCGTAAAAAATTTAGCGTTAGCCGTATAAAATGGCCAAAATTTCAACCGTTAGCCGTGAAAGACATCTTCCCACGGATGCCCTCATTTCATTGTCACATCTGTTGTAAAAGGCAAGATCAGCGACCGTGACTTTCTTTTTGTTGACCAGCGATTGATTTGACTATTCAAGCTTAAAAACCTAGACCTGATTGACCCTATCTTCTGAGCCATTCGCTTTAGGTGCCTCCATATTAAAAGATAAACCACCATTAGTCCACTGGAAAGACTTGACCCTTCCGGTTCAAATTCCCTTCCACACCTTAGTTAGGTTCAAAGGACAACAGTCAAAAGCCCGTGGGTTGCCCCAAATGTGAAGCGGCGAATTAATCGGTGTACAATGTCACTGACACCGATTCAACATTTTTTTACCGTCAAAACCTTGAAGAATGTCAATTAGTACGCTAGGCAAAAATAATTCGATTGAGTTATAACCACACCTGCATAAAAAAAGGCAAACTTGTGATCATTGGTGAGTCTTTCTCTACAATGAATTTCGAGCAGAACAACGCAATCACGAGGTAAAAAGGTTGCAAGGAGTTGTATTTTCAAACAAAAAAACTCAATGAGAAAAGAAAATGTTGATGAAAATACCTCGAGCTTGAAGGTTATAACAACTTATAATATTACAATATGGCAGGACAGTCTTGTGGTAAATCCGAGCGTTCTGAGTAGTTCTTACTTGGTCGGGATTTTGCCCTAGGGACCGTTTCCAAGGAAGGGATCATAAGCCGTGTACTTTTGTTCGTGAAAGCCGGAAAATTAAACATTAATAAAAGTGTTTTCCCGAGTGTCGTATAATAAAATACTTAGTAACATCACTTGCTCGAGCTGTATTGGGGAATATTGGCCCTCGGTCGTTTCTGTACGGACCTCGCTGCGCTCGTTCTGTACTGCCACGATTTCGGGCCATTAATCCTCTGTACGGCCCTCACGCTAAGTTAGTAAGAAATATATCTTATTAACCAAGCGCGAGGGCCGTACTGGGAGAATATCGGCCCGAGGTCTTGACAGTACGGACCGAGCGCAGCTCGGTCCGTACAAAAAAGACCGAGGGCCGATATTCTTCCAGTACGGTCCCGAGCAAGCTTGGTTAATAAGAGATTTATTATACGACTGAAGTTCAAAGGGACACAAGTGCGGTATCATTCGGGACCATTCGGGACACTGCCCGGTCCAATACTGAGAGAATATTGACCGGCAATAGAGCATTTTGATTGGTTGATTTTAGTTATTGGCCCTCTGACTGCCCGAGTCGTGTAATAAGTTATTCTTTGTGGCAACTGCCTGTTTGTCTTCCTTAGCACAACCTCCGTGATAAAAGAGACCACCTCATGAAGTCTCTGCAAGGAAGCCACAAATTAAAAAAAAATCTTGAACAACGTGCCGTGCCATTTTGGCAGTTTGACTAGACCGGCGCTCTGCAACATTTTGGAAAACTTCCTGCAAATAATAATTCTTAGAAAAGAAAACCTGAAAAAAGGGTTACCTAGAAAACTGTTCTTAAAAAAAATTCCTAATTCTGCGATCAGCCTAGCGCGTTATTCCTTTAGTATGGCTGGATAACCCTTCTAGACTACAACGCAGCTTTGTGACCCTTTCCTTTATCCAACGCCTAAAGAACAATGATGCCCGAACAGGCGATCTGGTCGGATTTCTGGAGGCTGTGTTAAGAATTGGCACTCGATCTGAAATTAAATATATTATCGCCTCAACGTTGGTATTGCTGAGAGCCTATAGGTGTTCAGAAATGACATTACACCACGACATTAGCTGAAGTAACGTTAGCTGAAGTATCAAAGCATAACCTTTTTCTCGACACAGTTGTTTCAGTTTGCGAACAGTTTCCAGCCTAACCAATGGCTAAAAAGATTGAATTCCATTTCCGTGAGTTTTGTAACTAAAACTCTCAATTTGGGAAGAAGTCTCTTAATTCAGCTAAGATTCTTTGTTTGTATTAGTAATTTCAAATAGCACACTGTTCATGATACATTTGTCCTCAGTTCTAGTTCACCTTGGTATTCTTCTCCATTTCAATCATGTTGTACTTTGCCTCTCTTTCGTCATTACTCTGTCGGATTTTCATCCTTTCCCTAATATTCTTTTTTTTTCCATAATTTTTTTCCTCTCTTTCCTTTGCTCTGCTATAGCTATTTGTTGTTTTGTGTTTTGCTTATTGGCTCTTGTAAGTATGTGATATTTAACAAATGGTGAACGCCATAGCGCGTACTATTGAGTTATGGATACATTCGGGAGGTTGTTAAGCACGAAAGAAGCGTAAGAGTCGCACGAGGCGATAGCCGAGTGCGACTTTAGCAAACCTCCCAAGTGCATCCATAACTCAGTAGTACACGCTATGGCGTTCACCATTTGTTTTATAACATAACATTGATACATTGAAGCAAGAGTTCCCTTTTATTTAACAAATCTTAGGTGATCAGAAAAAAACAAGCGCGCGTGGAAAAATAGTATTAGCATTTGCTCACGTCAGCCGCATGCACCCATGGGCAAATAGTAGATGCTGAATTAACCAATCAGAGCGCGCGTTTTGCTTTAGGTATGTTGTAACACTCAATCTCTGCTGCGAAGTTAGCAAGTCTCACACCGATGACTTAATGATAAGAAAAATCATCACATTGACAAGTTTGTTAAAAACCTTATTCACGGATATTCACGGCCGTAGAATTACAAGATGGGAACAAGATTGAAATACTAAATTTCAGCGTTGCATGACAAATGCTTGAGTGTATTTCAGCTACACTACTATGCAGATGTTGCGATTTTCACAAAGTTCAGCCTGGTTTTTCCGTGCGGAATTGAAAATCCCCAAACTAATTTTTATATCCTCGAAAACAGCACTATTTCCATTTATCACGTGCCTAACTTGAACCGATTCTGAGTTATACCCCATGGGGAAAATGATAATTGAAAATTTGCTACGAAATGCGATATTTGGATTTTGAAATAGGTGGGTTCACACTAGACCCTCAGGTGCACTTAAGTGCACTTCAAGCGGACTTGAGTCCAATTGCACTTGGAACGTACTTGAAGTGCACTTCAGTTTTTTCTGTAGAAACAACGTTCGCACGTTCACATGCAGGTGTGACTTTAATGCAGTTTTCGCGGAAACTTGTCTAAGTTGTGGAATCATATTTCGCGGAAATTTCTGCAGTTCTTGGTTTTAATGCCAGACTGATCGCTATGCGACCACGGAGGTTGAAGAATACTTTGACGTTAATGTTTATCTGGTTCAATCGGTTGGTAAGACGAGCTAGTTTTATTCATGTAAGCCTTCTCCACGCATTTTCTCCGCTACAAGAAACATTACGTTTTCGTTGTCGAAGAGGGCTGTAACTCAACGTGATGGTCCTGCATTGCCGGTGAACTTGACAAACTCCTGCTTTGAATAGGCTCAAAGGAGTAAACAGAAGGAGTAAATTGCATTTCGTTTCTAATACCGGA